CCAGCTCCAGAAGTGGACTGGATTGGTCCTTCAAAGGAGCAGGCTAGGTATGAGAATGTCTTTCTGAGATATCGGGGAAGTTTCCTACACCTATGAGATCGAAGAGATACGTGTAGGGGGAAAGGAATTGGGGAAGGGGGGAGACGTAATTCGAGTGTGGGAGGGTGGTGTGTGCGCTCCCGCGCTTGGGCGCCGTTCGGAGAGGCCGAGGGGGCAAAGGTGTGCCCTCGGAGTCAGGAAGCCCGACCTCTGACACATGCTTGCTGTGTGATGCTGTCTAAATCATCTAACTTCTTTGTTTGGCGGGCAGCTCTAAAGGCTTGGTAGATGCTACTCTTCATTGGTAAATGGTGATTCCTCCCTGAGCGTTCCTCCCCATGCCAACGATTTCACAAGTCGGGCCCCAAACCACTTTTCTGAGGATGGTGCGGTTTTGGGGGTGGGGTGGGGAGGGTAATCCTGGATCTGGGTTCTGGGCTGGCTCTGGGGCTGGGCTTAGGGTTCCTGCGCCCCCACCCCCCACCCCATGCCCCAGGGCCAGTCTGTCATTTGCTGTTCTATATAGAGACCCATGCGGCTGGGCCGCAGCCTTATAAAGGGATTAGCCGAATCCTTCCCTGGAGTTGGGTTGCCTGAACTCGTAAGGGAGATACGGGACTCGAACCCATGGACACGTCGTACCCCCGTGGGGAGCATCTGCCCATGACGGCCCGTGGCTCAGAGCCCAGCTCTGCCACCGTGATCCCCATGGGGGCTCCGCGGCCCCCGAGAGACCACTTGGTTTGGTCCGTCTTCAACACCCTCTACTTGAACCTCTGTTGCCTGGGCTTCCTGGCCCTGGCCTATTCCATCAAGGTAGGGGGATAGGGTGGGGCACTCGGAGGTCGGGGCGGGAGGGGAAAGGAGAACGAAAGGGGGCTATATCATATAGGCGGGTTCCACCTGGCTACAGGGGAAGAACCCTTGCGTAAGCTTGTGGCACTTGCGGGTAGGGGCGAGGAGGGCCCCAGAGATGGGCGGGGCGGGGCTAGATGGTGACCCTAGAAGCTAATAGGAGAGGGAGGAGGTTGGGGTTCCAGCTGGAGAACCCATGGAATGTCTTGTGTCCACCTGGGAACACCTGGGGATAGCGAGGAGGTCAGTTTCACTGGAAACGGCCAGTGAGAGGGGAGCCTGGAACGCCAGAAGGCTAATTGCGGGGCTGGATGCTGAGCTAGAGGTAGTTTTGGGGGAGGGGGCAGCAAAAGCACTTTCCGCCCTCAGGGAGCTTCTATTCTAATGGAGAAGATAACGTATAGCTCCTAGGGACGCAGGAGATCTGGCCCCGGTGGGGAAAGAGAAGGGAGGTCACCTCAGGGCGGGGGTCCCTTTGATCTTAGAACGGGGCTTCGTCATCTTTTATGTGTGTTGGGGGCTTCTAGAACAGGACGGGAAAGTCTGTGAACCTTTTCCTTCTCAGAATAACGAGTTTAAATCACTGAACCCCAGTCCTTCTTAGGGCGCAGATTGAAACAGGCATTTTGGGGACGTGGCTCAAGAGGGAAGTTGTTCCTCTTCCCCTTCCTCCATGCGGAGCCTGGAAGTGAGAGGCAGAGAAAAGATTTTTAAGTGGGAAAAAAAAATTAAACGGACTTCAAGAACTTTTGCCTAGAGGCTATAGGAAAGCGTAGAGTTTTTCCGAAGGCAGATCGAGTGACTTAGTGCATTTTCCCCGAGGGCGGATGGCTAACCCTAACCCTAATTGCGCTTGAGTGAAGTCTCCCGAGCGTCCTCTCCAAGGGGTGTTTCCTGATTTGTCCCTGCCCCAGGCCCGAGACCAGAAGGTGGCTGGGGATCTGGAAGCGGCGCAGCGCTTTGGATCCAAGGCCAAATGCTATAATATCCTGGCGACGGTGTGGACGCTGCTGCTGCCCCTGCTTCTCGTGGCGCTGGTGGTGACTGGAGCCCTGCACTTGTCTCGCCTGGCTCAGGGCTCCATGAGCTACTTCAGCGTCAAGTTCAACGAGGCTGATTATGACTGACCCTGCGCCTGACACCCTGGCTCTTACTCTGGCCGGTCCCGGCCCCCCCCCCCCCTTGCCTGACACATCCACGCCCTCAAGACGCCCGCCTCCCCACCCCCGGTGACTCCTCTCCAGGCAGCCTCTGTGTCTAGGCCCCTGAGGACCCCTCAACCCGAGTCTGGGGTGGGAAAGAAGGCCGCCCTTCTGGCAAATGGTCTCCTTCGTGTTCCACACCGCCCCCTCCCCACCCCTCGGCTGTCTCAAGGTGCTCCCAGTTGGACGGGATCCTTAGCCCTTCTCCTACGGGGAGACTGGGCGGGGCCAATTTGAAGCCAGTCCCCAGCTCCCTTCCACTTTCCCTAACGCCCCCACCACCACCATGTGTGTCCCACCCTCCTCCATGCCCCCGAGATTAACGTCTCACTTCCCGGGCCTGCGCGGCCCCCTGCGCTCCCGTAGACGGCCTTACGGTTGCCTCGGCTCCGGGTTCAGAAGCCTGTCGTGGGTACTCCGGGGCCAGTAAAGTGGGTGTGGGTGAATGCGTGCGTGCATGTGGCAGTGTGCCTGCCCCGCCAGACGGGATGGTGAGAGGTGTGTGTGTGTGTGTGTGTGTGTGTGTGTGTGTGTGTGTGTGTGTGCGCGCGCGCGCGCAAAAGCGAAGCAGTGGTGGTGTCAGAGCAGGTATGTGCTTGAGTGGGTGAGCTCGATCTGTCACAGAGAATCGAGGGCTAAGCGGGACTAGAACCACTAGAATTAGAGGGTGAGGACCTGACCTCCAGTCAGTTTGAGAAGCTGGAACCCTAGACTTCTGTCCAGCTCCAGCTGAGGTCCGTCCCCGCCCTGACCCCAGCCTGGAGAGAAGGGAGCAGGGCGACGAGGAAAGGTTCTTCCACTTTCACCCGTTTTTGTCCCCCAACTGCGGAAGGAGAATCCGTCATCTTCCACCCTGGGGGGCGGGCCTGCCCTCACTTAGCTCCCTGGGTGGGGTCAGGCCTTTGGGGAGTCGCATTCGAGGCCCTTTCCTCCTCCTCCGCTCCAGCCATTCCTTTACACTCGCTGCGGGAGAGGACCAAATTGAAGCCAGAACCCAGAGAGCCAGGCTTGCACAGGATGTGGTGGGGGCGGGTGGGCTGGCAGTATGAGCCTGAGTCCCTCCTGGGGACCCTTTGCAGACCCTAATTACAGGGTGGCGCCTTTCCTATTCTCCATTCTGTCCCAAATGCTGCCTGCGGAGAGGCTCAAATCCACCACACCCAGAGCAGATTTGGCTAGCTATTGGAGTGGGGAGAGAATGGCCAGAACGGCCTCTCCTCCTCAGGAGGCTCCAGGCAAGCTGCTCACACTGGTGACACTCACTCCCCTAAGGCAGACTCAGACCCTGTGGCCCCCTCTGGACAGCCCCTCTGCTCCTGGCTCCTAGCTCCTTCCCTGGTGGATCTTCCTCCGTTTCCTTTGCCGGCTTACTGCCCACACCCCCAACTCCATCTTCAGCTCCCTTCTCTAGTCTGCCTTGGGCTGTCTCACTCAACTCGAGGCCTCAGTGCTCAGCTCTTTATATGACTCCACCTCCCTGTATCCCAGCCCACCCTTGACAGCTTATTCGGGGAGCCCTAGCTGGCTCTCCATCCTTAGATTGTAAGCTTCTTGAAGGCAGGAATCCAGGCTTTTAAAAACTCCAGATGACAGCCTGTAGGCAAAGCACTTAGGCTATCACCCCTCCCCCTCCCTGTGGATCCTGAGAGCCAGCCACCGAGCCCTGCACATAGTAGGTGCTGAATAAAAGCTCGATTCAAGTGAAGGGCCTCTGAGCTCCTCCTTTCTCCCACTTTGGTCTCCGATGTCTCCTCCAGGCCCAAGGACCCAAGAAGGCCCTGCATACCCCCAACCAATTCAGGCCACAGGCTGATGGAAGTCTCAGCTCTAGCCTCTTTCAGACTCAGCTCCAAGAGGCCTCAGTGTGGGTGGGTGGAGACCATGCCAACTCTCAGCTAGATGACAGCTTTGAAGCATCAGGGCCCAAGGAAGGCTGGTGGGGGCAGGGATCCCAGGCCTGAGGGGGCATGGGGAGACCTAGCAGTCGTTTGGGTCCTGGAAGGGAGTCAAAGAGCCTCTAAGGCAGGGGGAGGGAAGAGGCCCACTCACCTCAATTCTCCTGTGAGCACTGAGCTCCTGGGCCAAGGATGGACATAGTGTTGACCACACAGGTACACAAATAAGTGGTGACAAGACTGATAGCAGAGGAAAAAGAGAGGCTGGCCAAGTGCTGATAGGGAGACCCAGAGGACTTAGGGAAGGAAGAGGCCCTGAAGGACACAACCTCTGAGCAGGTGGCTAAGCTGGGGGCATTGAGGTGAGGAAGCCATTCCATACTTATGGAACATAGAGTCAGGATACAGAGATGAAAATGCGCCAGAGTGACTGATGAGGTCCAGAGGTTTAGGGGTGCTGGAACCCCCAAATCACAACATGCGGGTTCTGCCTTCTTTCAGCCAAAGACAAGGTTTATTAAAGGTCCTCCATATTGGCCAGACCCTTAAGGAATCTGAGCACCTGTGAGCTATTGGTTAGATTGTAAAAATCTGAGCAGTGGCTAGATTATAAGAATCAGAGGATCCTAATGGAGACAAGATGGACCTTATATACAGAAAGACTACAGGAGGGATTTAGGAGTGGCCAAGTGGTCTATTACCAAGTGGTAATAGAACTCCAGGGGTGACCAAGGGAGAATGGAGCCTAGATAGGATTAAAGGTGGGAAGGGGGGTGCAGCTTGGGAGGTAAAACAATGGAGGGCTAGGTGATGGGTAACAGAGAATTGGGAGATTGGGTGTAGGTACAAAGAAAGGCCAGTTGATGGGATTATGGCCTCAGGCCAAAGCCAGAGATTTGGCCATATGGGAAAGTCCAGAGGTTTTCTTTTTTGGGGTCTAGATCCTATCCTCATCATAACCACAAGCACCCAGCATGCTGGAGATGGAGGGAGGTCTTGAATGCCATGGTCAAGAACTCAGGTTTCATTGTGTAAGTGCCAGGGAGTCATTGAGGGTTGCGGTGGGGGGTGAACTGCACCTTAAGAGGATGCCTCTGGCATCCTATGTCAGGTGGACTGGGAAGGAGAGGCTGGTGTCAAAGGCGAGTTAGAGGAGGCAGTGGGCCTGACCCTCACTGGGGACCAGAGGTGTAGAGAGAAGGCAACGGATTGGGGAGGTGCTAGGCAGAGTCCACAGGCCTTGGCAGGAGAGAACATCAGTAGAGGACACTCCCCCAGCCTCCCAGCCAGGTGTGGGGGGTGGGAGTGATCCCTTTCTTCCTGGGGCTCCTTGAGGGGCTCCGGGGCTCATGCAGCTCAGGCTCCCTGGTCTCCTACGAAGGCAGTCTCTGGATCCTCCCAGCAGTGATGGGGAAGGAAATCTTGTGTCCTGAGAGGAGGCCCAGACCAGGACTGAGGAAGAAGCTGGGAATGGGGCTGGGGGGGGGCGCAGCAGGACTGGGGAGAGACACATCCCTAAAGGATGGAGAGGCCTGGGGCCAGCCCAGAGGGCAGGACTGTGTTTGCCTCTTTGTATCGCCAGGTTTCAGCACAGTGCCTGGTACCTTAATAAATGCTAGCTGACTTGATACGAAGCCTGGGAAACTTACCCAGGGGCAGGGGGAGCCGCTTTCCAGACGTCCTCAGTTCCACCTCCAGGGGAAGGGCTGCCTGCTCTGAGGCTGTCACTACAATTGTCACCATCTCCTCCGAGAAGGAGAAACAGAGTTTGTTCCCCAGGTAGGAGACCCCGGTGACCCTCATAGACTGGACCTCGGCCGAACATGTAGGGTCAAAGGTCAGTCCAGCCCTGGTGATTCTGAGAAGGAAAGTCCAGAGTGAGAGGCTGGGGGAAGCCTTGGCCCTCTGGCATCCCCCCCCCCCACAGCTTCCCCTATACACACCTGAACCCCGTGAATCCAAATAGCACTGCCTGCAGGAAGCCTCCCATTCCGGTCAGGAAGTTCACAGCACCTGAGCCATCGGCATTCTCTGTCCACACCTACAAGGACAATTTCCAGGGGGACCCCTTGGGGGACTCCCTGCCATCCCCTGACACTCCTCCTCAAGGAAGAAGGAGGGGAGCTATGTCCTGCTGTGCCCCTGTCACGCTCCAGGTGTGGGGGCCAGAGCCTGAGTGATTAGCACACCTGAGGCCAATTTCAAAGTTTTGGGGAGGACTTTTCTGTCAACACCCTTCAGAGGTAGTGAGAGCAAGAATCACTTTCTCCACTGCACAAATGAGGAAGTTGAGGTTCAGATCAGGGTGGGGGAGGGCGGGAGGAATGGGATGTTAGGGGTGTGGCCTAACCTTAAAGGGCTCTGAGATGTTGGAGAAGCACTTCCTGAGCTGGGCATGGGCCTTCTCCATCTCCTTTAGCTCCATCCAGCCCACGGCAAACATGCTCTGTAGGACAGGGATGTCGAGGGCATTGACTTTAGGAACCCCTCCCATAGCCCCACAAGGGAATTGAGAACCCTAGAGGAACTAGAAGGGGAGCAAGCCATCTATTCTCCCCATTCCATGGGTGGGGAGATTGGGGCTAGACGGGCCTGAGAAGCCCACCCTGGCCTCGGCAAGTGGGTCCAGGAAGGGGCCTGGCAGATCTGTTTGTGCTGTCCTCTTTACCCAGGACATTGCAGGGCCCTCAGAGGATGTCACAGCTTCATAGATCTCCAGGTTTTTTCTCCGAACATCCAGGCTCAGGGGGTAGGGCACTGGGTAGCCCAGGAGGACCACATCAGCCTGCTTTACAGTCTCTCCTGGGGCCAGAGTCAGTGGCATTCCAGAGGGATGGCATGATTGGTCAGGATCGAGGGTGGGAGGGAGAGAGAGAGAATTCAGAACTCAAAATTACAAAAAGGAATGGTAAAAATCTTTTACATGTAATTGGGAAATATTTAACAAAATGGATAAATATTTTAAAAATAAATGTTTAATAAAAGCACGTTGAGCAGCAACATAGTGTAGTGGGTATAGCTGGGCCTGGAGTCGGGAAGACTTGGGTTGAAATGTGACCTCACACACTGACTAGCTGTGTGACCCTGGGCAAGTCACTTTACTGCTGCCTGCCGCAGTTTCCTCATCTGTAAAATGGGAATAATAACAGTCTCTACCTCCCAGGGTTGATGTGAAGATTGAATGAGGTCATATCTCTAAAGTGCTTTGCAAACCTTGAGGACTTGTGTTAGCATAATGCTTGGGAAGCTCTTCCTCTAGCTCAAGGTGCTGATCAGGGGTGTTCCCATCTCATTGCACTGAGGAGACATCCTGGAGAAAAGGAAGCCGATGCCCCCAGGCCCCATAGGCCTCTACCAGCCCTGTACCCCAAGCACCCTTCCCAAGGAAGTCTGAGACAGAAGAAGAGGACGCAGAGGTGCACATATATTGATAGTGACTCCTTTTGGGTTGGCAAAGCACTGGAAACTCTACTGGGGAAGGGCTGGACAAGTGACAGAGCCCTCTACGGGTTGTAAGGAATGTTGCAGGGATGGCTTCAGAGAAACCTTGGGTAGACTTAGATGGACTGATGCAGAGGGAGGGGAGCAGAACCAGAAAACCACCCAGGGATAAGCCTGCAAGCAATGACAGCTCGGAAAAACTTAAGAACTCTCCTCATTGAAATGGCCAGCCAGAATTCTAGAGGAGCAGAGGAAGCCTGGGGGGACGAAATGAGGCACACCCTGGGGGTGGGGTGCAGAGAGCAGAATGAGGTCCATGCTCAGGGTCATGGCCAAGGTGAGACTCTGTTTTTGCCTGACCACAGATATTTGTTATAAGGCTTTTTTTCCCTTTTCTTTTTTCATGGAGGGGTAAAAGGCATATATGCATACATACATACACACATATGTAACACAAATGTTTGTTAAAAATATATGTATGTATTTATATATAATATATGTATACACACATATATATATATACACATACGTGTGTGTGTGTGTGTGTGTGTGTGTGTGTGTGTGTGTGTGTGTGTTTAAGAAAGAGATGGACGCTGGGGAAATGGGTGGACTGGAGCCAGAGGTATTTGGAAACTCACCAGGCTCATATCCATCAAACTCTGGGTGGTAATTTCTCTCAGGATCAAAAGGCACCTTGATTTTCTCGGCAACCTTTGCCCACTGTTCAGGGACTGGCTGGCCCAGGTCTCTAGCCAGATCTGCTGCAAAACCCAGGCTGGATGGGAAGCAAGGTTGAGAGTGAGGAAGGTACAGTCCAGAGGGTGACAGGTGTCTTTGAGGACTTTATCCAGGAAAGGGGGGGAGGGTGGGCAATGCTAGGGTAGTTCTTTGGTGAGGAAGGGAATGGGTCTGGGAGGGTCCAGGGCAGTTTAGGAGCTGAGGTTTGTGGGTAAAGGCCTGGGAACTCAGGCTCATAGGGACTGAGTCCTTTGCCAGAGGCTGTACATCACCTCTGTACAGAGGAAGAGTGTGGCCAGGAATCTCACCTGGTCTGAGCGATGACATTGGTGTAGACAGAGTTATTGACACCTGAGTGGTACTCATCTGGAGGCATCACTCCTGGAAGGGGCGGGATCAAATCCAATCAGTTTTGGGTGATATTCATCCAGGAGGTCACCCCCTGCAGGTCTTCCTTCCTCCCACATACTTGCCTCGGAGGTGGTAATTCTGTTCCTCAGCACACCAGGTGACTCGGCTACACCAGAAATCAGCCACAGCCCTGACCACATCCCAGCCACCTGCCTCTTGGAATAGCTGTAGATCCTGGGGCAGGGGAGAGCAGTGGCTTTCCAGGCTCCCCACCTCAGACCCAGCAGAGCCCAGACCCACTCCCTAACCCTCCTAGGTGCCTGGCCCCATGACCCTCAAGCCAAGCTTCATCCTGTTGGGTCCTGTCCTTTTGGGGGCCTGAGGCAGTGTCCCAGAAAGGGATCTGGCGGCCCTGTGCCCCCCTCCCCCCAGGAGGTACCTGGGTGGCCTGGTAGTAGAACTGAAAGGCCAGCATCACTGCCCCATTGATGTGGATCTCCTGAGTCCCATAAATCTCCTCAGGGCAGACCTCTCTGCCAGAGCTAGCACTTTCCCAGGCAAACTTGGCGCCCTGAGGAGGGGGAAGGAGAGAGGAGACTGAGGATAGAGCTCAGACCCTCTGGAAGGGGACTGTGATGAAGCCCAGGGCACTGTGGCCATGGGCCTGAATTCCCCCTCTGCTCCCTATTCCTTTGGTGACTTAGCACCCTTGGACCTCAGTTTTCTCAACTGTAAAATGAGAGTTAGATTGAATAATCCTCTCACTTCTGATGAAGAAAAAGCCCAAGCAACCTCTGCCATCCAGAAGCCATGGGGGAGGGGCTTCACAGGCACAAATAAGTAAGTCCAAGGAATCTAAGGAGGCTGAGGACACACTGACAGCTGGGGGCAGAGCCTGCAAGGCAGCAAAGGATTTGAATAGGCCTGTCTGAACACAGGTCAGTCATTGGACACAACCTGGGCAAAAACAGGGATGCAGGAGATACAATACTGAGGTCAGGAGTCACTGTGGTCCTGCGGAGCTGAAGGTTAGTGGGAGAAATGGGAAGAAACAGGGCGGGAAAGGCTGGAAGCAGACCATGAAGGTGAGGAAACTGAGGCTGAAAAGGTCACGCAGGATTAAGTGGTAGAGAGACCTGATCTTGAGATGACAAGGTGTGACCTGGGCCTCCCTGGCTCTTCCAAGCCCATGTTGCCTCTGGCTAGGGGCTGCTCCCCTTGAGGCCAGGGCCTCTGGACAGCCAGGACCCCTAAGGGCTCTCTCCTGATTGGGCTCCCTCCACCTTCTCTTGTGACCCTCTTGTCAAAGGTCACTCACTAGACTCTGAGCAGAAGAGGGGGCAAGGAGGTCCCCAGCTTGAGGGGGAGTTTGGCACCTGGGAGGTGAGGGCCCTGGACCCCCACCTGGAATCCCAGCTCCTCAGCGTTGAGCAAAGCCCCACCCAGTGTCCGCACCCGATACCCCAGGATGCTCCTGGCAGCTTCTGGGTCCAACAGCAAGATGCTGGGAAACATCCAGAAGTCCTAGGGCAAACACAGGGGAGGTCATGGAGGAACATAGGAAACACCAAAGGAGGTCATGGGGGAACACAGCAAAGTGATGAAGCAGGTGACAGGCTCGTAGAGTTCAAGTTGGGAATGCAGTGGAGCCCAGAGAGGGGGCAATGCTGGGGTCCTCACCTGGTCCCAGAAGATGTGGCCCCAGTAACACTCCCCATGGCACCCATTGGAAAGACCCCCAGGGCTGAGCCCGTGGAAAGGCTCTGGGGTTCCCAGGTGGGGGAGGGCACTTAGCGTGTAGTACAGACACCCTCGAAGAGCTTGTTGGAGGGGAAAGGACCCCACCAGGTCGAGGGCACAGGCCTCCCAGAGCGACCCCCAGGCATCAGCATGGCTGCTATACAAGGCACCTGCCCCCTGAAGGGAGGCAGCCTCTAGGAAGTGACCCTCGGCCTCCTCCTTGCTGCCTGCCACCACCGTGAGGAAGTCCCATGTCTGTGTCTGTTCCTCTTCCTCTGACAGTGTCAGTGATGGAGGAACTGGGGTCCAGAGCATATGCACCTCCGGCTGAGGTCCCCCAGGCTCCTCCGGGACCAGTGTATGACCATATAAGTACCTAGGTGGACAGAGCACAGGGTCCTGGAGAAGAGCCCCCAGCCCCACTCCCTGATGCTGTAACCCTCCTGGCCCCTACCAGCAGCCTGCATCTTCTCACCCGGTCCCCACTTACTCACCGAGCACCCCGGAAGTCAGGGCCCAGGTGCAAGGCCAGATCGGGACTGTGGGGGGTGAAGTCAGCCTGAAGGTGCAGAGTGATTGGCTGGGTGGTGGAGCCCAAGCGGCCAATGGACACGCTGGAGACCAGCAGGTGGGAGAGGACTCGGTGAGCATAGATTCTGTGGGAAGCCAAGAAGTCTAGGCCTCGGAGGGTGTGGAGAAAAGTACCTGAGGAAAGGGGAAGGGACGAGCTGGGCATGTGGGCAGAGGGGCCCAAGGATGGGGGACCTCTCTCATTCACGTTAAATGGGAGGGGGTCCCCTAAGGCAGCCACTCCACGTGACCCTCCAAAGATCTATACTGGTGGGAGGCCACAGAGGCAATGAGAGCAGGGAGAGGGAAGGGAGGCTGGGACATTGTGACTTTGTAGCCTCTGGACTTGCTACTGTTTCTCCTTTCTTCAGAAGAACTCTTCCCCATTCAGGGGACCTAGGAAAAAGGAACCCAGACAAATAACTGGAGGGGGAATGGGCACACCACAGGTCCAGAGTGTGAAGGCCAACCCCCTGATTTCACAGATGAGGAAACTGAGGCAAGCAGAGGTAAGGTGACCTGTTCAGGTGACAGCTAGACTGCCTCAGGTGGGGTTTGAAGCCAGGCCTTCCTGGGGAACAAAGTCCTGGGGAAGGGAGACAGAGGGGCCAAGGAATGGTGAGGGAGACCCCTTCCGGGAACCAGACAATGGTTTTGGTCTGGGTAGACCCCAGGTAGACCGGGGCGTCTACCTGTCTTGGTGTCCAGAGCAAAGGTCTCCTCTATGGAAGCCCCTTGGCAGGCTGGAGCCAGCAGGTGGACATTGAGAGGACTTGGGAGGTCTGCCCGGTGCGTGTCCCCTCCAGCTCCATTGTACACACCGCTCACATGTAGGATGTGATGGTACACTTGTGTGCCCAGGTACGAATTAGTCACTGTGGCCAGAAGGCGGGGGTCTTTGGGCAGGGAGTGGGTGGTGAACACAGTGGGGTCATCCTCCATCCCAGGGCCTGGCAGCAAGAGTGAAGATTGGAGGACACAGGGCCATCCAGGAAGCCCCTTTTCCCAGGTCCAGGCTAGGCTCACAGCTGCCCCCATTCTAGGAAGGGTCTCCCGCCCCTCCCCCTGTCCCCAGCCACTCAAGGCGCGGGGGGGGGGGGGGTGTGGTCTGGCCCAGGAGCGGGTAGGTGGACAGTTCCAAGGCGTCCCGGGTGGGGGTGGGGGAGTAGCGGCCCACCCTCCCCTGCCTCAGGAGGACGTTCTATTTCTTCGGGGTGGAGGGTGGAGGGGCAGAGGGTGCTCACGATCCCCTGGGTGTACAGTTACCTGGCTTCGGCTGGACAGTCTCAGCCGGGGCGCCTTCTTGGGTGGCAGGCGGGCTAAGGGATAGGACCAGTGCAGGGCGCCTTCTTTGGGAAGTCTGCAGAGGCACAGGCCCCTCCCTTCACATCCTCCACGTCATGGGGCAGGAAACGGGCCACAAGTTTGTGGATCGTAGCAACTTCTGGGCGCCTTTCGGGCCGCACCGGTCCATTTGATCCCCAGTGCGCAAATCTGACGCCTCCAGACACAGAGAAGGAGCCCTGGGGTCCCCCGAGTTTGGAAGCCCCGCCGGGGGCAGGGGGCGGGATAAAGCGGCCCCTCCTCCTCCAAGGATTCCCGGCTTCTGCCCTCCTTATCCTCCCCCGCCCCCGCAGATGGGGGCAGGCGGGTCATTGGGGAACCTCTCTGAGGCCCGGTGTGGGGGTGTGGGGGTGGGGGGCATGCGGATCCCTACTTGGAGGACAAGGGGTGGGAGGGTTGGGGGTGTCACAAGATTACAACATCTCCCTCTGAGCAGGAAGCAACGCCCAGGTCTCTAGTTCCACCCGGACTGAAAAAGAACCCACAGTTAATGACACCTTCGTGGAAGCCCCTACTGTGTGCGGGCCAGCAGCTCTGCTGTGTTAGCGCCAGCTTGTGCCAATTCCAATGGCCAATGCAAAGATATGGAGGTGGGAAACAGAGCAGGAAGGCCAGTGTAGCAGACTGTCCTCGGTGAGAAGGAGGAGTGTCCAATGAGAGCGGGAAGGGTTAGAATGGGAGCCAAGTTAGAAAGGACCTTAAAGTCCAAACAGAGGCATCTGCATTAGATTCCAGCACTGCAGCTTATTTACCAGGACAGTGATGTTAGCAGATCTTCACTTTTTTCTTCAAAAAACAAACAAAAACCCCCCCAAAAAAACCCCACCAAAAACCTATTCTGAATTTAACAAATAAAAGGACCATTTCTACAGTATGGGAACTACAGTGTGTACAATCCCCTCTCCTTTTTAAATACAAGATCCATCTGCAGTGTAACTTTCAAAGCTGTCCTGTTTGTCTGGAGCTCTGTCTGGTCCGCCTTCTGGTCCCTTCAATGCAGGCTTAAAAACACTCCCAGCACTCTTTTCTCCTCCTTTCCTTTTCACTTAGGGCTTTTCCTTTCTTTTGCCAGGTAGCTAGGTGATGCAGTGGGTAGAGCCCTGGGCCTGGAGTCAAGGAGACTTGAGTTCAAATCCAGCCTCCAGACACTTTAGGTGTGTGATTCTCATGTTTTCCTCTCAAGTGGGGATAATGATGGTGCTTCACAGGGTAGCTGTGAGATCATGTTGTAGAGTTTGGCTTTAGTAGCTGCCTTAATAGTGTTTATTCCTCTCTGTCCCTCTTTTTATCCTCATCCATTAATTGATCTCCTAGGCCAACACCCACATACTCTTGTAGGAGCCCTCGTTCTATTTTCTCTCATCCAAAGGCTTGCAGTATCTCACCCTCCCCCACCTGGTGACTAGGATATTCTCACTAGGTTTAAGGCCTTCCTAGATTCAGTAGAGATGTTCTCACCTCATTATGGAAGGTCCTTAGTATAGGGTCTTGACTTCCAACGCCCGGATTAATCAGTAAGCAAGTCTTTATGAAGCACCTACTGTGTATGGACTAGAGGCCCAGCACTTCTGGTTTGAGGAGGGCGGCCCATCCACCTTTGGCGGTCACCTTCACCCAGCTCTCCCCTGTAGCTACAAGAGCTGGAGCGTGCACAGTGGCCGCCCCCCCCCACCCCCAGGGAAACCAGCTTGAGGGGAACTGGCAGGCTTCAAACCCGACAGGGTGTTAGGAAGCCTCCACCTCAAGCAGGTGAAGACTTCCCCCGCCCCCCCCCCAGAACAATTTGTTCCAATGGCCATGGAGCGCTGGGAGCCTGGGCAGGCATGGAAGATGCCAAGGCCATCTACTGCGTCTGGGGCCATCACCAGGAATCCTGGCTTTAGTCCTTCAGTGACTTGGGAAGAAAGAGTTTAGCTGCTGACTTTGTGCAACTCTGCTTCACTTCAGTTCCCTCAGGACTCAGGATATCAACTGTGATGTCATTGTACTCTTTGAAGCAGACTACCGCCACCACCACTACTACTACCACCACCACTACTACCACCACCATCACCATCACCACTACTACTACCACCACTACACCACCACCACCACCACACCACCAACCACACCACGCCGCCACCACCACCGCACCACCGCCACCACTGCCGCCACCGCCACTACTACCACCGCCGCCACCGCCACCATTACCACCACCATCACCACCACTACCACCACCACCGCCACTACTACCACCATCACCGCCATCACTACCACCACCACCGTCACCACTACCACCATCACTACCACCATCACCATCACTACTACCACCAACACCATCACCACAACTATCACTACACACCACCACCACCACTACTACACCACCACCACACAACCACATACCACACCACCATCACCACTACTACACCACCACCACCACTACTACACCACCACCACCAACATCACACTACTTACCATCACTACTACTACCACCCTACCACCACCACCACTACCACCACTACCACCACTAGCATCACTACCATCATTACCACCACCACCACTACTACTACCACCACACCACCACCACCACCATCACCACCACTACTACCACCACCACCACCATTACTACCACCATCACCACTACCACCACCACCACCACCACCACCACCACTACCACCATCACCATCACTACTACCACCACCACAACCACCATCAGCACTACTACCATCACTACCACCACCTTACCACCACAATCACCACTACTACCACCACCACCACCACCACCACTACCACCACTACCACCACCATCACCACTACTACCACCACCACCACCACCACCACTACTACCACTATCACCACCACTACCACCACCATCACCACTACTACCACCACCACCATCACCACCACCACCACCACCATCACTACCACTACTACCACCACCACTGTGTACCAAGCACTGTGCTAAGGGTTGGAGACACAAAGAACTACAAAAGACAGTCCCTGCCCTCAAAGAGCTCACAGTCTGAAGAAGGAGACAATGTAGGAAGATAATACAGACTGGGAAAATGGGTGGGATCTCAGAAAAAAGGCATTGGCAACCCCACCTTCACACTCATTTTTTCCCTCATTTGTCATAGCTTTGATGAACTATATGGATGGTGGGAGACAATGTCTGGGGAAAGAGGAGAGAAAGGCAGGTCTTGGTCCCTGGACCTCAGCATGGGGTCACCTTCCTCCTCACCTGCCCCAAAGCCCAGGCTCAGGTGCTTACAGACCCTCCCCCTTATTCTTCCTGGGAAATTCCCATTGGGGGAAGGGAAGCTGTGACTGGCTTCTTCCTTGTTCCAGTGGGTCTTTCAAGCTTGGAAATGGATGGAAAGAAAGAGAGAGTCCTATCTCTAAGACCCTGCCTCCTCCAAATTCCTCAGGTATTTATTCTGGCCCTTGGTCATCCCACTCACCTCATTTTCCTCATGTGTCCTCCAATCCAATCATGAACACTTCAGGCTGTGGGGGGTGGGGGAGGGGTGGGGCCAGGGCCAAGAAGGGCCTTCTCCCCATCACAGCATAGCTAAGTACAGACTGAACAACTGTGCTTGGTGACTGTAGATTGAAGCCTGGGAGCAGGAGAAGCAAGGCCTTCTCTTCCCTCCCTCCCCCTTCCCCTTCTCTGCTCTGAAAAGTGGAGGCAGCGGGGCAGAGATGCCCCAGAGGACACTGGCCAGGGAAAGGTCCAGGGAGGTACTCAGCAGCCTCAATGGTCCCCTGAAGTTTATGGCAATAAGGCAGGAGCCCAGAAGGAAGGGGGGCCAGTCAATAAAACCAATGGCCTCAGGCCAGGCTGTAGAAGAGAGAATCCATTGGCCTGGAGTAATACATGCTGATGGAGGGCATGAGGCCTCTTTCACTCCCCAGGAGGCTTTCCTAGAGTCTTGTTGGTCTCTGGCACCTTGGTCACTTCCTGAGGCTTCAATCCCTCCTCTAGGGTTCTGGTCATCCCTTGGGGTCTTGGCCACTTCCCTAGGGTTGAGTGTGTAGGGAAAAGGTAATCAGAGAAGGAAGTCTGAGGGAAGAGAGTCAGAGGTATGTATGGACAGAAAGGCAGAGGAGAAGGCAGGTGGGTGTGTAATGGGGAGAAGGTCTGAGAGGTGGAGAAAGCCAGAGGCTCTGAAGTGTCCCAGCCAGCCATGAACCAGTTGCTTGTTCTCCCAAGAATGATCCCCTTGCACCAGGGAGCTCTTGGGTGAGAGAGCAGCAGGAATCAGGAGTCGGGAGTCCTTGAAGCTGGCTGGCCACCAGGGGGCACCACAGCACACAGCGCACTAGAGGGCCTGGAGACTCAAATACCTAAGTACAAATTTGTCTGCCTGTTTCTTCACCTGTAAAATGGGGACAACAGAAGCACCTCCCTCCCAGGGTTATAGTGAGGATCAAATGAGCTAATTGTAAAGTGCTTAGTACAATGCCCGGCACATAGTAGGCATTATGTAAATGTTAGCAATTATTATCGAGATTAAGCTGAGAGGGAGGTTAGGAGTTTTTCTTAGAGGCAGCTTGTTGATTCTCTGCAGTCAGGTAGTCAGTCAAAAAAACACTGATTAAGCACTTACCATGTGCTAGGCACTGGGCTAAGCACCAGGTATGCACAAAAAATGGGCAAAAGACTGGCCCTGCCCTTCAAGGAGCTTACAATCTAATAAGGGAAAAAACAAGCAAATGAATATGTACAAAGAAGCTCTAGACAGAACAAATAGGAAATGATTAACAGTGGGAAGGCCCTGGAAATAAGAAGTGCTGGGGAAAGCTTCCTGAAGAAGGTGGAATTTAAGTTGAGACTTAAAAGAAAGCTGAGAAGGTCTTTAATCTGAGCAGAGGGAGGAGAGCACTCTAGGCGTGGAGGGTCTTGTTCTTGCTGACAGCCAGGAGGTCAGTGTCACTGGATCAAAGACTAGGTATTGGGGAGGAAGGTGTGAGAAGACTGGAAAGGTAGGAAGGGGCTTTGGATGCCAAGCAGAGCATTTTGTAATAGCTCCTGGAGGAGATACAGAGCCATTGGAGATTACTGAGTAGGGGGATGGCATGATCTGACCTGCATTTTAGAAAGATCATTTGAAAGCTAATTAGAGGATGGACTGGATCTGCCTACCCTCCTCCCCCAGCAGGATATTACAATAGTCCAAGTGTGAGGTGATGAGAGTCTGCACCAAGGTGGGGGCAGTCTCAGAGGACAGAAGGGGGAGTATTCAAGAGATGCTCAGAGGTGAAATTGACCAGAGATGCTCAGAGGTGAAATTGACTAGAGGAGCTGCAGAGGTGAAACAAGAGGCCTTGGCACCATAACGGATTTGGAAGGTGAGAGAGAGGAGTCCAGAATAACTCTGAGGTTGAGTTTATGGTGTTGCCCCCTACAATAATAGGGAGTGTGTGAGGGGAGGGTTTAGGCCCAGGCCTTTCCCCCAGGGAAAGATAATGAGTTCTGTTTTGTATATTGAGTATATATAATCCTAATTGTGTGTTCAGGACATCCAGTTTGAGATGTCTCTGTTGAAGATGCAAGACGGAGGTTGGCAAAGGTTAGGGCAGGAAAGGGAGATTTTAGAATCATCAGCACAAAGATTGTCATTAAATCCATGGGACCTGATGAGGTCACCAGGTGAATTAGTATAGAAGGAGAAGACCAGATGGCCCAAGACAGATTCCTGAGGGGCACCAGTTGTTAGAGGGCATGATCTGGAGGAGGATACAGCAAAGGTGACTGAGGAGGAACGGGCAGAGAGGGAGGAGGAGAGCCAGGGGAGGGGTGTCCTAAAAACCTGCAATCAAGAAGACCTGAGTTTGAATCTTGCTCCTGACACCACCAAGCTGGATGATGCTAGGCTAGTCATGAGCAAATTCTCTCAGTTTCACTCCCCTCTTCTCTAAAGCTTGGGTAATAATAATGATATCTACCTTGGAGGGTTATTGTGAGGATCACGTGAGATAACAGCAGTAAACTGTTTTGTAAATTGTGCTGTGTAAATGCTAGCTACTGTTAGTGTTGTTAGTAATAATGCTTCTCCATCTGTCCATCTCCAGGAAAGACGGAGAAATGGAAGCCAAGGGCAGGGTTGGATCCTGAACTCAGGTGTCCTAATTGTTAGTTCTGGAGGTCTACAGATACTTGAAGACAGTTATAATGCACCTCCAGGCTAAACATCCCTTCATATGACCTGGACAATGGAATATTGTAGAGGCGACTGGGTCGGGTGGCTTCTGAGGTACCTGCCAGCTCTGAGATGCTGAGTATTCTGTAACCTAACCCTAACACCTGTGGACCTGCTTCTGTCATGGCCTCAGCGAGCCAGAAGTCAAAGAAGGCCAGAACTGGGAGCAAATGTGGAGACCATACACTGTACATTTGGGGAAACTGAGCCCCAAGACAGGGGAAGTGGCTTGAGGTCACAAGAGGCTCCCAGATGATTACTTCTAAAGGGAAGAAAAGAATAAAGTGTTCTAAGAGTGGCCTGTGGCTTGTAACACCTGCCAGGCTCCCAGGAACCTTCCAGAAGACCCTCCTGCCTTTAGGCTGAGCTATGACTCCCAGTCTGGACACTGGGTGGTGCCAAGTGCTCACAAATGTGTGTTTGCATGTGTGAGGACGAGTTGTCCAGAAGTCATGCCCTCCAGGGAAACAGAGTGGAGGAGGGAGGAGAAGGAAGGAGAGGAAGGAGGATGAGAAGGGAATTTATACTTTTCATATTAATTGATAAGATATGTGTAATGAATATACTAATAATTTTGTTTTCTGAAGAGCTGTTTCTCTGGCTTGGGAGTCAGAGCTCACAATGCAGCTTAAATTGATTAATCAAAATCCTGGCAACCTTCACAATCACCGGACCTTAAGGGAAGCAAATCAAAGACTGAAGAACCTGTTCCTGTCACAGAGCTCTTGTTCTGTGCTCTAGGGGAGGTGGCCACAACCCTTAAAGACTGGACTCCAAAACTGCTGTGTTGTGGGAAACCATTAAATAATTGTAATCCATCTTCCCTCTCCCCTTCCTCACTTGTGATTTAAATATATAACCTGTGCTTTTACTTCAGCTAAAGGAACATTGCTTACTCTGAAACTGATGAATTAAACTACTTGATTCCTGGCACTCTGGTCTCTAGGCTTGCTTTGTGTGACTCCCAGCATTCTCAGGTCAGAGACTGGCTCAATAAAAGTCCTGTTAACAAGGAGGAGGAGGAGGAAGACAGGTGGTTAGACAGACCAGGACAGAACTGCTGAAGGTGAGGGCTCCCAAGGATTCTTGGTGTCTTTGCTCCTGTCTCCCCTGATCTGGGGCACAGTCACCACACAGTCACCTGGTTTGTGATGACCAAAATTCCTTAACGAAAGCCAAACCCTAGGGATGAGGAGATTAACCAACATAATATTCCCAAGGTGTGAAAGGAGAGGCCTGGGTCCACGGAAAGTCCAGAATGAGGGAGGGCATGGCCTCCATGTCATCTGCCCTGCCAACCCTCGGCCTTCGGTCACTCCCACTAGGGGCTGCCTTTGCTCCTACTCACCAGCTGCTGAACGAAGCTGGAGAAAATCACAACTGTCCTGACTAGGTCCACCACCAGCACTGGGCCCTCACTGCTGCTTCTTCATCATTCCCTCTCCCATTCCCACAGAGGCTCTTCTGAACCTTCTCATTCCTCCTAGAACCTCTCATGGCTCCCCTTCCCCCCACCCTCTTAGTGAACAACCTCATACTTCACAGAAAAAAAAAAAGGGCCAATTAGCCCCGCTCCCTCCTCTGTCCCCCTGCTCTTCTCATACCTCTCAGGCGCCTTCTCCCCTGTCTCACCTGCTGAGGTCACCCTTCTCCTTGCCAAGAGCAGCCCCTCCACTGGCACCAGAGACCCCATTCTATCCCATTTCCTTCCAGAAGCTGCCCCCTCTGTGAGCCCTACCTTTATCTTCACTCTCTGTCCTGTCCACTGGCTGCTTCCCTACTGCCTACTAGCCTGCCCCTGCCTCCCTCCTCCTTTTTGCAGTTAAACTCCTCAGGAGGCTGGGCACCCCTGGCACTTCCGATTCCTTCCCTCTCTTTGTAAGTCCCACTTTGACGTCATCCAAATTGCCCTGACCGTGGACCTCTTAGTGGCCAAGTCCAATGGCCTTTTCTCAGACCTCTTTCTCCTTGACCTCTCTGTGACCTTGGATACTGGTAAGCACCCTCTTCTCTGGATTCTCTTCCTCCCTCTCTGACCTCTCCTCCATTGTCTCCTTTGCTGGATCCTCCTCCAGGCCATGCCCTCTAACCATGGGTGACCCTCAGGCTCTGCTCTGGTCCCTCTTCACGACTTCACTTGGGGATCTCATCAGCTCCCATGGATTTTGTGACATCTCTACGCTGGTGATTGTCAAATATTCTCATCTCAGTCTCTCTGTTGACCCCCAGTCTCACACCTCTAACCTCCTTTCAGACATGTTGAACTGGATGTCCAGTAGACTTCTGAAACTCAAATTGTCCAAAACTCAACTCATTACTCTTCCCTCCAAAGCCCTTCCAAGCTTGCCCCACTCTCAGTCACCCACATGTCATTGAACCTAGGAGTTAGGGGCAGCTAGGTGGCACAGTGGACAGAGTACTGGCCCTGGAGTTAGGAGAACCTGAGTTCAAATCTGGGTGACCCTGGGCAAGCCACTTAACCCTGATTGCCTACCCCCCCCCAAAAAAAAACTACCTAAGAGTGATCCTGGATCCCTCACTTTTTCACTGCTCCACCCCCATATCAGTCAATTTCTAAGATTTAACCCTTGCAAAACCTCTTATCTATGCCCCCTTCTCTCCCTGCCCCTGCCCCCACCCTGGTGCAGGCCCTCATCACCTTATGCTTGGACTGTGGCAGTGGCTGCTGGAGGGGTGTGAGTGTGTGTGTGAGGTCTGCCTGCCTCAAGTGTCTCCCCTACTAAGCACAAGTATGACCGTATTAACCTCCATTCAATCTAGAATCAAATAGAAATGCCGTTTGGCCAGGTTCTCTAAAGCAGTGGCCTGCTGGCCTCCATCTCTTGGCTCCTGGCATTTTCTCTGGCCCTCCTTTCCATTCATGGAAGGTTCTCCCTCCTCCTTCTCCCTCCTTCCTCTCTCTCTTCCTTCCTCCTCCCCCCACCCCACACATCCCTTGGTTTCCTTTAAGTCTCTGCTAAAACTCCACCTTTACAGGAAGCCTTTCTGGATCCCCCATAATTCTCATGCCTTCCCTTTGTTAATTATTTCCAATGTATCCTGAATCTAACTTGTTTGTCTGTACATGGTTGTTCAAATGCTGTTTCCTCTATTGGACAGGGGGTTCATGAGAACAGGGACTGTCTTTGGCCTTTGGATACTGAGCACAATGCTTGACATGCAGTAGGTGCTTAATACATGTTTATTGGATAGACTCTGCCAGGTCACTCAATAAATGAGTTCATATTTGTAAAGTGCTTAGCAGTGCCTGGCAAGGAGAGGGTCTTGAGGAGGGGGCCCAGAGGGGAGGAGGGCATCAGGTGAAGGGGGCGAGGGAGGAGGGGGTGTTTTAGATGGAGAAGGGAAGACTTAGCTGGCAGAGAACCCTTCAAGCATTAGAAAGATTGGCCCGTGAGGGCTTAGCCTTGCTTTGCTGTGCTTTAACTGGGTGGGAGTGACGGGAGGAGAGGTATGCAGAGCTGCTACAGTCCTCTGTTTAATGTGTTTGGGTGGGTTAATAAGCTGATGAGTCCAAGCTCGGTATATGCTGATCTTACAACATAAGGGAAAGAAAAAACAACAAACCCTTGGCATCAGAGCTGTAACATTTTACGAACTTATTTGCTTCCTCTTGACACAAGGGAAAATGAGGTTATTCCTAAGAAGAACTACCCACCCACACATGGAATGGTTGCATCCAGAGACTCCCAGCTGGCCCAGGGCAACACGGCCTCTCACTTCTCTGATTTTATAGAAGGGTCTGATGGGAGTCGGGCTGAGCCCCAGGGCTGGCATTCAAGGGTGTCTCTGCCTCTGCCAAGTGACTGATGCGTGCCCAGGGCTCTCTGCCTCAGTGGGTTTGGCACTAACTCACCCACGGGGAGCCAGCGAAGGAGAGTTTGCTGAGGGCAGCTGCCCTGGTCTTCTGCTCTGGGGCCCTCCTCTTGCCCCTTCCTACCCCCTACCCCTCATTCTACCCCCAACTGGACCCAGGTGGTCACTGGCCAGGTCAGTCCTCACCCCCAAATCATTCTGGAGGTAAGGGGCTAAGAGAAGCCTGCCCAGGGTCACCTCCTGGTGCCACTGCCTTATCACTAAGAGGAAGCAAGCTAGGCCCACTAATAGACCCCTCTTCCTCCTCCACATAAATGCTCCTTTCAGCAGCCCCAGACTCCAAGGGGGTAATTATGGGCTGGGAGGGGAGGTAGGCTACGGGACAAACGACAGGATTACAGGAAGGGATTAGCAGGTCTGACAGAATCTCAAAGCTTGCTGGCTGCCAGCTGTGGGGGCACTGCCTGCACCCCACCCTCGAGGATGGGGGCTTAACGGCTCCCCCAGGGCGCTGGTTGGCCAGCCCTCCTTGAACACCAGAATCATTGGTGAGTGCAGGGGAGGGATTGTGGAGACGGCTGCTGGCCAACCGTGTTGCCCTGGTCCAGCCTCCACCCTTTCTATTGAAGCCCTGTAATTTCCTGTCACTTGTGGGGGACGGGGGAGGAGAGAGGGCCAACACCCACCAGCCATCCTGAAATCCCTAATGTCCCTGGGATCCTGGATTGGCGACCCCCCCCCTTCCCCAGTCATCCCTGCTCAAACAACAGGGCTGGGCAGACATAATTTTCTAATTGGAAGGCTGAGCTGGGGAGGTGTCCAGACCCCAAGGGAGGGGGCGACTTGGGTTGTGGGTTTGGGGGTGTGAATTTTCGAATGAATTTTGACTAAGCAAAGAGAAGGTAACTAGAGCCTCAGAAACTCTGTGCCTGAGGCCCAAGAGCACAGGCCATGGGGAGTTGGCCCTGACCCTTTCCCTCCCTCAGCAACAGGGGAGAGACCAGAAGTCGCCTTCCTGGTCCAGGCACTAGCTTAGTTCCTGGGGGCATCTGGGCCCAGCTCTTTCCAGGGACTGATCTCAGACAATGCCTCCTGGGGTCTTTTCTCCTCTGCTCTAGGCAAAGCGATCTTGTGGTCCCTGTGGGGACTGGGTCCTGGGTCCACCTCTGTGACCTTGCATGCAAAGTCCTCCCTCCTCCCTTGGAAGTCCTGACTCCCTGTCCTGTTAAAACCCTTCCCAAAGTCACCCCCTGCCCCCGACCTGCGGTTGAAATCTCATCGCATTATCAGTTAGCTTGGGTATGTTTGTACATATTGTTCACGGTCTCTGTGTCTCCAGCACCTGGCACAGGGCGAGGCACCCTCACCTGAGGCAGGTGAAAGGCTTGCTAGCCACTCGGAGATGACAGTGCTGGCTATTAGAACGAATGTACAGAGGGAGAGATTATCACCTGGGCCTCGGACAGTGGGCAGCCACCCTCTCTCCTCCAGGTGGCCCCAAGCACCTGCCTGCCCCAGGTGGGGTGAATGATGGCCACTGTGAGAGGAACCAGAAGTGCAAGCTCCTCAAGATGGAGGAATGACCAGAGGAAAGTCCATCCTGGGCCTGATCTCACTGGGGCGGACGGACAGCCTGTCTCACAAACAGGCAGCTGGGCTTCCTAAAGCCGTACCTGTACCTTCCAGTGAATCTGCTTCCCTTCTCCAATCTAGTCTCCATTCTAAACGTGCCCTCCCTCTCTTTACTAACAGGGCCCACGTTTCTGGATTACTGCCCTCATTCTACTGATGAGGAAACCGAAGCCCAGGACATTTAGTGACTTGACAAGGCCACATAGGAGGTAAGCTGCAGAGCCAGCCAGGTCTCCTGCATCATGCTGCCTCCAAAGAATGAAGGAGACAAAAGGGCAGGAGGGGGTGGCTGACAGCATAACAGGGCACCAAGCTGCCCTGGGAAATCAAAGCAGTCAGACTCGGACGCCCTCCATCCTTGGGGACTGCTGAGCCACTGGAATCTTGGGGTCTTGATCAGAAAAAAAGCAGAGCTCCATCACAACTGGAGTTTTGCGCTTCGTTCTGGGCACATTTAGGATGAAGCACGTAGGGTGAAAGAGCTGACCGCATAAAGGAGACAGAATCCTGGGGCCTAGCTCACCTCGCCCACGCCCCAGCCTGAGGCAGATGATGGGTGTGTGCAGACGCCAGCTACAGCCTCTAACTGGCTCCATGGGCATAATCCAAGGACGCCTCCCTGCTGAGGTGGAGAGGAACACATGCTGCTGCACGGGCAATTGGCACCTCTGGGTTCAGATTCACTGCAGGGCCCTAGACCAGACAATTCTGTCGGCTCTAAGGGGGAGACCCTCCTTCCTACTTCCCAGAGCCGCTGTCCAGCAAGTTCATTCAGCGAGAAGGGTCCTGCAATCAAGGCCAGACTGTCTCTATTTAGGCTCAGTCCTGGCCATGGCTGCTAGTTACCTTGCCAGAGACCCAGTGGGAGGCTAAGTGACCCAGGACGAATCACTGATGCTCAGACTCAGTTTCCCCTTCTGTCCAACAAGAGGGTTGGGTTTCTATGGTTCCCTTGAGCTTTAAATCTATGCTGCTGTGACTGGTGGATGGAAGGCTCAGGGAATGATGTCAGAGCCAGGATTCACCGATTCATATTCCCAAATTTCCCTTTTTCATCTTGGACAATGCTGTGGGTCTGGGCCTCAAGCCCCCAGAGTCCACTGCAGTCTGAGGGTCAGGGGCCAAAGGTGGGCCCCACTGCGGTGGTGGGAAGAGGCCACTCCCCCAGGAGTCCCATAGCCAGACAGCCGCTATGCCTGGCATTTGGAGCCAGCCTCCCCCTCCTGCTTTTGTGACAGGGACAGCTGCTGCTTCCTGGCACCGAGCTGCAGTGAGCACCACCTCTGAGTGAAGGTCAGACAGGCAAGCAGCCCTTCCCTGCAGGACGGAGTAGAGCCCACCGAGGGCCATGCTGAGCCTGACAAGGACCTCCCGGCTGCTCCAGGCCTCCCTGAAGAAGCAGCTGCCACCCAGGGCCCACATCTCTGCCCGGCCGGCCAGGGATCCAACTAGCACTGGTGTAAGTGACTCTGAGAAGAGGGGGTTGTGGCCCCAGTAAGGTCAGACAGACAACGCTGGGAGGGAGAAGCCTTGAGGAACTGAGAGAGGGGTGGGCTCCAAGACCGAGGGGTCTGTGGGCAGGGTGGCCAAGGGCTTCCTTCCCAGTTGGCCTTGTTTTCCAGTGATTCCACAAAGGGAATATACTGGCTGCTGAGAAAACCTTCAGTCTGGAGAGCGTAGAAAGGTTATTTGCTCCCATGCCCCAGGTCCTAACGACACGTCCCTTGACATTCAATGACCAGCTGGGAATCAGCAGAGGGGGTTCAGGGCACGAGCCCTGAAGGGAGCAAAAGAGGCGCCCAGGGAATGCCCAGAACGACCTGACATTCTGCTCCCCTCCTGAGGGACTTTCCATGGATGCCTGGGGCACAGAGCGCATTTAGGGTTAGAGTTAGCTCACTTACTACTGATTTACTCCAGTTCCTCAGTTTGACCAGAGGGTCTGCGACCAGCACCAGGTCACAGAGCAGCCCAAGTCTGAGCACGTCTCCTGGTCATGGCTCTTTCCTCTCCATCTCCCATTGGCTGCCACCACTGGCAGGGCCCTCCCCACCTCACCCTCTACACCACTGAAGACATTCCTGGGGAGGGGGTCTGCAGCCCTGAGCCCTGACTCCACCCACTCCCTGGTAGCTGAGATTTCCCTGGGTCGACCAGAGGGACTGTCCTCTGACCCTGACTAGTCAGCCCATGGCAGGCAATGCTGGCCCTTGCATCGCTCACTCCCAAGGCTCATCATGTCTTTTTTGGCTTCTGGGCTGTCTTGCTCATTGGAAGGTCACAGGGCTTGAAAATTATTTTTTGGGGGGGAGGGTGTAGGAGGTCTGGCTGTGTTGGAACCTTGAGATGAAGGGGAAGGTAGGAGACGGGAAAAGGAGTTGGCCTCCTCCCAGCGACTACACTGAGCTGGTCCTTTCCCCAAGCAGCTAGTGGGGCAGCACACAGGCCAACTCTGAGGCAGGAGGACCCGAGGGTAAATCCTGCCTCACATTGCTGCCTGCCTCAGTTTCCCCAACTGTATAATAGGGGTATCACAGCACCTACTTTCCAGGGTTGTTGTGAAGTTCAGATGGGATGTTGGCAGCAGTCAGCACACAGCAGGTACTTAATGCATCACCTCCCCTCCCCCCAGGAGCAGGCAGCCGCCATGGTGGTTATCTTCCTTACCCTCCTCACTCCTCCAGCTTGGATATTAGGAAACCTCCACAACTACAAGAAAAGTTCGGAGTAACAAAGGAACCCCAAAATGAGCCCCTGCCGATCCCAGCTCCCCACAGCTGCCTCCAGGAGACCCCTCTAAGACCTGCTCATTAAAAGTCTCTCCTGCCAAAAGCCGCCTCTCTGATTCTTATGACCTGGCGCCGGCCCACTTCTGTCCCCATTTCTCAGCAGTGCCCACTCTCCCAGCCTCTTCCTGGGCTCACTCCCAGCCCCCAGCAGACCAGAGGGACTCCCTGAACTCAGAGCTGGGTCCAGAGAGAAAAGTTACAGATGTTTATTCCAGCAATATTCTTGTACCACACTATAAAACAGACCTGTACAGGAGGTCAGAACCAAGAGGAGAAAAACCAATATGTACTACTGGAGGGTCCCATGCTCCTGCCTTTGGGTTGGGGGGAAAGGGATGGGAGGCTGAAGGAGACCAGTTCCCCCCGCCCCAACAATCCCCCCACAGATCCCGGGGTGGGCCCGCCCCAGCAATGACCACTGTGAGTACAGGCCCCAGGCAAGTCTTTCCCTCACACACCAAAGGGGTTTGGGGGAGGTCCTGGAAGCTCCTGCAAGAACCACGCCTGCCCAGAGCACCTAGGTCAAGATGTCGTGGGCCTGGTGCTCCACCAGCATCTCCATGCTCTTCACATCCGTGCACCAGAACTCCAAGCGGTCCTTCATGCCCTTGATCTGGGGGGCAAACAAGGGCACGGCCATGCTCATGAAGGGTTCTAGCCTGGGCGGGCACTTCCACACTGGACTGCCTCAGTCTTCTTGGTCTCCCTCCCTTCCCCTCCCCCTTCCTGGTCTTCTTCCCCTGCCCCTCCCTCTTCTCCCCCCCCCCACTGTTTCCCCTCTTTCTACCTGGGTAATAAATGAGGAAGGGAACCATCAGGAGGGTGCTTGAAGTCCAGGGGGCTTTCCCCACTTTCCCCCCAAACCCAAGGGCTGACAAGCTGGGAGGGCTGACAGCAATCTGAGTTTTCAAGCTCCTCCCAGGGACCAGGGGGTCTGGCGCCTGTACCTGCTGTAAATCCAGCACTCGAGGCTGCACCCAGGTCATGTGCACCCGCTTGTCCACCTCATCGATGCTGCCTTTCACCAGACCCACAGAAAGGGCCTTCATCACCAGCAGCTCCACCTACATGGAGACAGCCAAGCGTGGATCAGTGGTGCCAGTGCTGGGTGGGTGGCCCCTGGGATCCCCAGGCAGGAACTCACCTCATTCACCTTCACCTTGGCACTCTGGGCGATCTCCTCAAAGGTTAGTTGCCGGTGATTGGCCGGGCGTGTGAAAGTCATCTGCAATGCCAAGCTGCGGGTGACCATCTCTTCCTGGAACCCTGGCCCACCAGGGGAGCCCCGGCCGTCCCAGGGAGAAGCCCACACTCACCTCCATGAGGCAAAGCAGCTGGATCTTCTGCAGGAGAAGGGCCTCGTTGGCGGCCAGATCTGGCTGTATGGGGGAAGAGGTAGATGAGTGGCCCCTCTGCCTGCCCCAGGCCCACCCCAAAGCCAGGCTGGCCAGAGAAAGCCGACAAGAAACAGGGGGAGTTGGCAGCCAATGGGAACCCTTGGGGGCAGCAGAGCCCTTGAGGAACCTGGGTTTCATTAAGGATTTAATTTTGTTCCACTTAGAATGCATAGGTAGAGGAAATGGAAGCACGCTCCCTTCCCCATCCTGTGGGTGGCCCTCAAGGACTGGGGCCTCACCTGCTGGCCCCAGGCAGGCTTCAAGGTCTGGAACCTCTCAACATTCCCGCTGTTGAAGGCGTAAAGTGTGTCGATCAGCCACTGCCTGTCTGTATTCCTTAGGGAGTCCAGCACAGGATGCATGAGCTGTGGGCCAAGCAGAGATGGTGTTGGCCCAAGGAGCACCAGGCTATGCCCCTCACCGCAGGACCCACGACTGGCTCTGGAGCCAACTCACCAATTCCCCAAAGTTGTAGACGCCTTCCCCGAGAAGTCCTGCCAGGCCCAAGGTAAAAGCTCTCTCCTGCTGCTCGGACACTGCAGTGACAAAAGGCCTCCAGTCACATGGGTGTGCTAGTGGGTGATGCCCAACTGGGCAGCTTGGGTGGGCTCTGCCCCTTCTGTCCGCTTCACCTGCAGACTACCTCTCCCACTTGTTTCCTTCAATGCTGGCCCAGAGGGTGGAGCCTCCAGGCTCCACTTGACATCTTCCTCCAGGCAAGCAGGGCCCACTGCCCCACGTCCCCATAACTCTAGAATTCACAATCCATCCTCTGACATTAACAATGCCACCTCCTCCAGGAAGCCCGGAGCTCCCATGCTGGTACCGCTAAGACACAAACAAGTATTGAAATTGGCTCATTAATGCTAACTCTTACCCTTGGGACTGGTGAGAAGGGCATGGGCCCTTCTACAATGCCTACGGAAGGCAGTCCTACCCCTTGCACGATGATCTGACAGATCTGACCCAAGGACTCTGCCAAACCTGCTGGAAATGACCCCACTGGGAGGTGGCACTTCAGGGGCTCCTGTCCCAGGGTAGCTTTCACCATATGGACTCTTGTTCTAACTTAAATTCCATCAGCATCATTAAGCCCTAGCTGTGGGCTTGGTGCTGTGAGGAGACCCCGGGGAAGCCAGCCCCTCGAGGCCCCACATGGCCTGTGGGCAGGGCCAACAACTTGGTAAGGGAGCCTAGAGAGGACCACAGCTCAAGGAGATGGCGGAAAGTGCACTTTTTATAAGACGGGGGGCCCTTTATAAGTCTTTGTGGGCTGGAGGAGTGGCTAGAGACTGGAGATGAGAAAGGAAGATGGGGAGAAGAGAGGAAGGCAGGGGACAGCACCAGAGACTGGAGGAGCTGGGTTGGCCTTGGGAAGGCGCTAACCCAGCTCCCAGACCTTCCCAGACACTGGGCCAGGGAGGAGGGAAGGGAGAGAGAGAAAGGACAGGTGGAGGGCAGCCCTGGCGCATACGGGAAGGCAGGAGTAGGAGACAGGCCTCTGATTCCGCCCCAGCTATTTCCATCAGAGAAGGACAGAAGGGTCGATGAGCAGCAGGCACAGTGGAGGGGGACAGAACCGGTAGGCAGTTGTTGCTCTGATCTCATGGAAGACACAGGGGAGGGAAGGCTCAGAGGCACAAGAAGCCAAAGGTGCTTATTGACTACCCAGAAGTCCCCAACAACAGTGGACAGAGATTCTGAGCCACTGACTCAGCTTGGGATTAGGGAAAAGCTAAGATGCTGCACAAGGCCTGAATTCCAGACAAGCTGCTGACGCCCCAAGTGGGAAACAGATAAAGTCAAGGACATCAACACAGAACATCAAGGCTTTCTGTCCAAGACAACTTCCACAAAGCAATTGCCAAGCAGAAGAGAGCAAACACCTTCGTGCCAGATGCTCTATCAGTCTGTGACCTCTGACCCTCACCAGCTCTGGGAGGTGGGGGCTATTCTCATCATTGTCACCCCCAGTTTACAGTTGAGGAAACGAAAGCAGCCAGAGGGTCGGTATCTTGCTCTTGGTCTGAGGCAGGATTTGAACTCAGGTCCTCCTGGCTCTCTGGGAGCTGTGGGCGCCCTTTGGCTGCGTCTGGGTAAGGCCAAAGAAGCCTTAAAAAAGGAAGCTCCACTAGCAAACACTGCAACCCCTCCTTGCACT